TTAATCTTTCAACAGGACTTCAGATGACCTTCCACAAATTGTCTATCAAGCTTTCAGTCTGGTAACTGTCCTAATGTGACCTGTATAAAACCCACGTTCTCAATTTTCAGCTCTCTTTAGAAAAGCAGGTCCAGCCCTTAATAAACTCCACAAAGGGCGACAATGACAGGAAATGGCTTAGGAACACTGGGGGGGGGGTAGCCAACACACAAAAAGGGAACTCAAGCCTTTCTGTTTACATAAGAGATACCTGTGTTATTTTGTGTACGGTATATAACAGCTAGAATACCTGCAATATGTACACAGGTGTAAGTATCAAACAGATTCACCAACAGATCTGAAAGTCCTGCAGTAATTCTCATATTTCATTGCTTTGTTAAAATCTTGAAAACTGTCCAATCAGTTTGAGTGTGGTATCTAGGTAGGTACAGTTGTTAGAAACGGAAAACAGCTCTATGCCAGTGTTTGCTTAGCGCTTTTAAAAACACAGCTAGCAGAAATTAGCATTAATCATAGATCGGGGTTTCTCCCTCATGTTCTGGCCATTTTGATATTTATGGCCCAAACTAAAGGCCAGTCTCCAATCACGGTTCACAATTGCAAACTATTTTTTTATGTAAACCTTTATTCAGTATTTCAGTATTTTAGGAACAAGAAGTTGATAAATGATGAATTCCATGATGTTATATTTAAAATACTTTTTTAATCAAATTATCTTCCCTGAGATTTGAAATATGAGGCATTCTGGATATTAATATTATTATTTCTGATGTTATACAGCTTTCTCAATCACTGTATCTCATGAGAGAAGGTTACAGTTTAGGTCTTTCCAGTAATTATCTGCAGAAATATACAATCATAACATTAATCTGTAAAAAATCAGTACAGTTTTCTTACCAGTGTTCAGAGCGGCTTCATTTACATCCCCTGTATTTCCCTGCATTTCAAAGCAATCCACTGGATTGTATCCTGAGTCCTGCCATAAAAACACACAGGGCCAGTTTATAAAGGCTTTCAGAGTAGAACATGATCGTGCTCACAGCCACAGATCCTTCTGTTCTGAGATGCTGTGAGCATCATGCACATATAGAACATAATTTTGAAGACAGTTTGCCTTGACATACCACTTTACAGCACTTTTTAACCTCCTTTCCACAGACAAACAGTGGATTTCTATTCTTTCCTTCCGTCAGCACAGAGATGGAATCCACACAGCCCTGGAAACATACAGCAAATTCAGCAACACATGTAAATCTGTCTGCTTTAACACAAGAAAGTTGTTAAGTAAATTATATTCATGTTTGAGAAGAGAGGACGAGTTCAGGCCTAAAAAAACCCTGGGGAAGTTAACGTTTGTTCTGTTCCACATCTGTGCCAGATAACTGTGGGCAATAAAACAGCAAGCACCTGGCTCAGGTGTGCTGGGAACGGGAGAACAAAAACATGAATTGGAAGGTGGTCCTCATGGACAAGATTAAGATTGTCATACGTAAAAATAAATACATGCAACGTGTATTTATCAAATATGTTTGAAATATCAATGAAAATGGCCAAAAACTATGTAATGTGTTGAAAAGTGGTTAATTGTATAACTCTATTATTCTGCTTGTTCTGTCTCTGAGGGTCTGATTTTCTATAAGTCGTCTTAGAACGTTCTGTACTGTTCTATGCCTCTCTATCATGGGTAACCTTGAAACTTAGGCAGGGGTAGACTGTTTGGGCCAGTTGAGGATGATAACACTGTCTATAATCATTGTTTGTTCCGTTCGCTGAGGGAAGGTGGATGAAAATGGTGACCTCATAACATCTCTTATATGAAGACGTCTTAAAATAAACCCAATCCTCTCCTCCAACATGCACGACTCTGTCTAGTTTATTCTCACTAACTTCTACAACGATTCCACAGTTTTATTTCCATGTAGATGGGGCTGTAATTTTAGGCTAGAACATCACTCACCTACATAGCATTACATTACACATTTCATCATGTTATACTTACTCCACTTTAGTTACACATTTGACATGCATAAACATTTATAGATGTGTAATACTTACAGATCTACCGTCCTCGCATTCATTCTTAAAAAATGGCACAGGCTCCTACCAGAGAATGAAATACATACAACTGCGTTAGATACAAGTGCACTAGTTTGGGTTTGTCATCGTCTAGTCTAGGATATTTGTGGGTGGTGAACAAATCTTAACATATAGATCAGACATAGCAGTGCTGCTCATTCGCTGTCCACTCTGTTAGACACTCCTACCTTGTCAGTCCACCTTGTAGATGTACAGTCAGAGACAATAGCTCATCTGCTGCTGCACAGTTTGTGTTGGTCATCCCCTAGACCTTCATCAGTGGTCACAGGACGCTGTTGGCTGGATATTTTTGGTTGGTGGACTATTCTCAGTCCAGCAGTGACACTGAGGTGTTTAAAAACTCCAGCAGCACTGCTGTGTCTGATCCACTCAGACCAGCACAACACACACTAACACACCACCACCACGTCAGTGTCACTGCAGTGCTGAGAATGATCCACCACCCAAATAGTACCTGCTTTGTGAGGGTCCATGGTGGTATTGACCACTGAAGAACAGGGTAAAAGGGGGCTAACAAAGTATGCAGAGAAACAGACGGACTACAGTCTGTAACTGTAGAACTACAAAGTGCACCTATATAGTAAGTGGAGCTGATAAAATGGACAAAGTAGGTGGTCATAATGTTATGCCTGGTATCAGGCTAATGCTGCATTCACATATTTGCGTTGAAAAAAGTGTCAGTGGTACCCAGCCGGCAGCCGCAGAAAGCTCCACCGACATTGTTACGGTGACTGTGGTGCCGGCAAAATAGGTGATTATCAGAAGTGAGGTTTAGCAGTATACACTGTTTATTTACATTAAAAAAGTTAGCAGGGTGCTCTGCACTATTTTATTTTTGTTGTATAAAACTGGTTTCTTCTGGAATTCAACTATAAGAATTTGGCATCCATGGCTTTCCAAAAAAAATCACAGCAAGAGTCTTTGGCTTGACTTAGTCAGCCAAAAACACAAAGATTCAAGTGAGAAGAAATAAAAGTAGTTTTCCTTTGGAATGATGGTGATGATGATTACTATTATTATGCAACTACACTAACCAACACTATTAATAACACTATTAACACCAGTGCTGCAAACTAATCTGTAGAAAACACAATATCAAGATTAAAACCCAGAAAGCGAAGCTGGGGCTGCAGTTTACCTGCGTCACTCCTGGCAGTTTCTCCCCTGGGTTAAACACATACAGGCCATGAGAAGCTCCTGCATAGATTGTTGAGCTATAAGGATCCTTCACCAGCTTCCACACAGCATTTTCAGGGTTTGGCAGGTTAAAAGAGCTAAATGTGCTCTCTGGGACACAGAAACAGACAGAGAGAGAAAAGCTCCATGAAGTAACTTACACTGACCAGCCACTTCATTAAAACTACCTCCTTGTTTCTACAGTTACTGTCCATTTCATCAGCTTCAGAGACCATATAGGAGCACTTCGTAGCTCTACAGTTACAGACTGTAGTCCATCTGTTTCTCTGCATACTTTGTTACCCTCTTCTTCAATGGTCAGGACCCCCACGGCACCACCACAGAGCAGGTACTATTTGGGTGGTGGATCATTCTCAGCACTGCAGTAACACTGACGTGGTGGTGGTGTGTTAGTGTGTGTTGCGCTGGTCTGAGTGGATCAGACACAGCAGTGCTGCTGGACTTCAGTGTCACTGCTGGACTAAGAATAGTCCACCAACCAAAAATGTCCAGACAACAGCGTCCTGTGACCATTGATGAAGGGCTAGAGCAGGACTGTCAAACGCAAGCACTAAAAGGGCCATATTAAAAAATCTCAACAAATCCATGGGCCAGAGAACGCCTGTGTTTTTATTTCAATTTAAATAACCTGAACTGGCCATCGTTGGTTCAAAATACGGCATCCACAGTAACCTTGTATCTCCAAAATTTACAGGAAAAGGAAAAAAACCTACTTCACTTTTAATGTAAGTCAATGGAACCAGAGTTTATTCCAAGTCATTTTTGGTCTTCTTTTGGTCCATTGATCATGAAATTTACACACAATGTAAAGGGCAACAGGCATTTTCAAATTATGTCAAAAACTGGATAACGACAAAAATGGAGATACAAGGTTTTCTTCAGACAGCAGCGAGATGTATATATGTATATATATCTGTATATATATATATATATATATATATATATATATATATATATATATATATATATATATATTTAAATACCTGGTATCTTTTCTTTGCTGCAAGTACATTCACTTTTGGGATCCATTTGCTGAGCTGAGTGTTTATATTAGTTGAACTGCAGCTGAAACGCATTTAATGTGTTTGCTGATATGACTGGCGTGGCAGAATTTTGGTGTAACTGCTGTCCAATAGATAGAGACTGTTGGAGGAGGGGGGTGGGTGTGCACATTAAGTTGCAGTGCATGCTGGAGACTGTAGCATAGCACATGAAAAAAAATGGGCTAATATTAACAGAAAAACAAAATAATTTCACGGGCTGGACAGGATTGTGCAGGCCTTGTGTTTGACACATGGGGACTAGAGGAAAGAGTGTCTAACAGAGTGGACAGTGAGTGGACACAGTGTTTAAAAACTCCAGCAGCCCTGCTGTGTCTGATCCACTCGTACCAGCACAACACACTAACACACCGCCACCACATCAGTGTCACAGCAGCGCTGAGAATGATCCAAAATAATACCTGCACTGTGGGGGTCCTGTGGGGGTCCTGACCACTGAAGAACAGGGTAACAAACTATTCAGAGAAACAGATGGACTACAGTCTGTAAAAGTGCTCCTATATTGTCAGTGGAGCTGATAAATAATGGATGAAATGGACAATGAGTCTGGATAAAGGAGGTGGTTTTAATGAATGGCTGGTCTGTGTATGTGCTGCTGATAAGCACATCATGTGATTATAATCAACAGCTCTGAGCAAAGGTCTGAGTTAACAGAGCAAAAACCCATTTACTTCAGTTACAGACGGCAACAGCAGGAAAAGCAAAAGCCTGAACGGTCAGTCTTACATGTTTCTGTGTAAAACCTTTTCGTTGGAGGGTTTGAATTACAAAAGTAAAGCTATATATGATATTCTTTATTTTTCCTTTGCCAAAATTCAAGACTGTAAGGTTAGATTACCACATGTGAGCAGTCCAGCCCTCGCTCTATGGCACAGACTGCCTGCTAGCAAGCCAACACTTAAAGATAGTAAAAGTGTACACATGTTGTCTGATGATAAACATTTTGAAGCAAGAAAAAGTGCAAAGGAAGAAATATAACTATAAAAGATCCAAGGCTTCTGTCCTTGCAGTGTTCATTACCCTACACGTTATACTGGAAACAGCTAAAGATAAAAACTGCATATTTAGATTTCTGCTCCTCACCTTTCCGAGTTATCCTGATCCTGGCTGCGTGATGGTGGTCTTCCAGTCTGGAGTGGACATTCTGAGTCCATATTAAAGCCAGCAGAGCGGTGCAGAGCGCTGAAAGAGGCATGACTGATCTGAGCTGCGTAGAAGTGAACACCGCAGATGCTTCGGCTGCCAGGAGGTGTGGCTTTCAGTTCCCCCCACAGACTGTTTGCAAAGAAGAAAGACGAGTTGACCAAGGACCGTCATACAGTCCACTGTGGTCGTGCGTCATTCTGTGGTCTTCATTATTCCCTATATTAGGATCTCCGGGTCTGAACTCTATTTCTCTATGGGCAGAATGAATAGGGTTTCCGGGCTGTGAGAGCTCTGAGCTGTGCTACCTGATCAAGTGTCGGGTATACCCGTAAATAAAACCTCTAGGTAACCCTAACCTTATCAAAATACTACGCTTTTCAACCCTCCATGAAGCTTCTTTTTGACCGTGACTGTGTTGCTAATAAGTACTGACGACATCCACGATATATTCAGAAAAGAATATTGCATTTTATTGCAACATAATTTATCATAATTTTTACACGACAACAAATATATAGTCATATTGCCCAGACCTAGTAATGCTACTAGACATTTCCTTCCGTTGTAATTAACTGGGAAAAGTCATTAAGTCTTAAGTGATATCTTACCTGCTAAAAAAAAGCTTAACGTTATATTTGATGTTTTACTTATCACATTTAATTTTTATTGCTATTAAAAACATCTTTATTGTTTAAACTGAACTTAACATAAAAACACTGCACTATGTAAAAGCTAAAGCCACTTGCCGTCTACTAGAAGATCTGAATCTGGTAGCGGGCTAAGTGGCTAGCATAACATTTAACAGCTAGCTAAGTTAGCTAGCTAGCTAAGCTAACTTTAGCACATAACATCAACATTATATTCAATAATTCCACTGCTGGGATAAATTAATGTATAGAGCGGTTTATATCGCTTCATTTAAATTATGCTACGTTTGCTAATTCACGACTTTTTGTGCTGGATACCAGCGGTTTTTTTGTTTTCAATGAACGAGCCGAGCTCGTCAACGGTTAAGAAATGGTAGCGTCCGTTATGGGAGTGTTCCAATATGTGGCTTATGTCTCTCTCTCTCTGTCTCTCTCTCTCTCGTTCTCTATCTCTCTATCTCCCCCTCTCTGTCTCTCTCTCTCTCTATCTCTCTCTCGTTCTCTATCTCTCTATCTCCCCCTCTGTATTCTGTTTTTAGGGCCTGATAGCATTTTAATTTACTCTGAGTGTTAATTTCTTTGCCCCAATGTTCCAGATAATCATTCTGACTGTTTCTGATGATGTGATTGATGTTTAGTTTGGGCTGTAAAGCAGTGCTGGAGCGAGGCTGCTGTGTGTTAGGGTCTGTTAGTGGGTTAATAAGCCTCAGAACCAGCTGACTGAGGGAGCTCTTCTCAGGGTTCAGTTCTTGGGTCTGTAGCGCCTTAAACTGCAGCGTTTCTCTGGGACTCATCTTCAGGTGCATCCAGAAATTTAGAGATCTTTTTTGAATGTTTATTAACAGAGGAAATCGGCCTAATTCTGCCCTGCATGCATTGGTTGGTGTTTTCCTTTGGACTTTCAGGATCGTTCTGCAGAATTCTGCATGCAGGGCTTCTGTTGGATGCTTGTCCCATCTAGTGTAGCCGTGCTCACTGAGTGGACCCCACACCTCACCCCCATACAGCGCAGTGGGCTGGATCACACTATCAAACACTTTACACCAGACTGAGATGGGAATGTCAATATTGTAGAGTCTCCTCCTGATTGCATACAGTGCTCTGCCAGCTTTTTCCTTTAGTGCATTCACTGCCGGACTGAAACTCCCAGATGCAGTAACGATGAGGCCGAGGTAAGTGTACTGCATCGTGTGCTCCAGGGCGGTGCTGCCCAGAGTGAACTGGTACCTGTGTTCTCTATCTCTCTCTCCCCCTCTCTGTCTCTCTCTATCTCCCCCTCTTTGTCTCTATCTCTCTCTCTCGTTCATCTATCTCCCCCTCTCTCTCTCTCTCTCTATCTCCCCTCTCTCTCTCTCTCTCTCTCTCTCTCGTTCTCTATCTATCTCCCTCTCTCTGTCATACTGTCTATTTCCCCCTCTCTGTCTCTCTCTCGTTCTCTATCTCTCTATCTCCCCCTCTCTCTCTCTCTATCTCCCCCTCTCTCTCTCTCTCTCGTTCTTTATCTATCTCCCCCTCTCTGTCTCTCTCTCTCTCTCGTTCTCTATCTATCTCCCTCTCTCTGTCATACTGTCTATCTCCCCCTCTCTGTCTCTCTCGTTCTCTATATCTCTATCTCCCCCTCTCTGTCTCTCTCTCTCTCGTTCTCTACATCTCTATCTCCCCCTCTCTGTCTCTCTCTCTCGTTCTCTATATCTCTATCTCCCCCTCTCTGTCTCTCTCTCTCGTTCTCTATATCTCTATCTCCCCCTCTCTGTCTCTCTCTCTCTTGTTCTCTATCTCTCTATCTCCCCCTCTCTGTCTCTCTCTCTTGTTCTCTATCTCTCTATCTCCCCCTCTGACTCTGTCTCTCTCACTCTCTCATTCTCTATCTCTCTACCCCCCCTCTCTATCTCTATCTCTCTACCCCCCCCCCTCTCTCTATCTCTATCTCTATCTACCCTCTATCTATCTATCTATCTCTATCTCTCTCTCTCTCTGTAAAAGCAGCAGGAAACCGCAGTCATGTTTATTTAGTGCAGCTGGTGTTCGTGGTTGTTGTTGTGAAGCTGCTGTCTATCATCTCCGCTTCTCTCCGTTCGTTTAAAACTCCTTATAAAATAATTTTCTAACTTTTCCGCTTGGCCTAAAGACTCCGACAGCCTGTCATAATGAACGGTAGCGGATGTCTGTTTGGTCATACTGCCACTAGAGGGAGCAGTAATCATACGACAGTCAGACAGTCCTGTTCGTTCGATGGTCCACGTTATCGTATTTATACACATTTTATTGCTGACATTTCTGTATAGAAACTATATTTTGTTTGTTTTGTTTTTCTTTCTGTTGATTTTTTCGTGCTTGTAACACGGAAAACTGTTTTCCAGAAGATATCAAAAATAGATATCAAGATAATAAGCAAATAAACAAACATACTCTTAAAACGATGGTTCTTCAAGGGTTCCTTAGTGAAGACAGTGGTTCCATGTAGAAAAATGAACACCCAAAGAACCATTTTCATGAGAGAAACAGTTCATGGTAAAAGACCATTACGCTTGGGGCAGTAAAAGAGGAGGTATAGAGGCAGCACAGTGGATGGAGACCATCAGAGAGATCATGCACAAGCAATTAAGAAGCCTGAAGAACCAAACAGAGGACTGGACATTTCAGAGAAACAGTCTCCGTACTGGCATGTAACAGTCAGCATAACCTGAAGCATTCAAGTACATTTCAGTGTACAAATGACTTTGACATGCTGTGTAAAACATTCATTTGGGCCAAATGAGTTTCCATGTGTGCTTTTAACAACAATGTCAGAAAAGAAAGCTGTTAGATCATTATTTAAGTGAAAACTGCTCTTGATACCAAGGAAGCACTTTGATGAACATGAAGCTCAATATACCCAAAGCATTAGCACAGAGCTAAAACTAAACATTCGCAGGTTTTTTATTACTTAACTGAAAAGTACCAATGAAAATAATGTTAAAAATGACAAAAACTGTTGGTAAACAATGTGTGAAAGTAAGAGAGACCAAAACTTTATCAGTCTTTCTATACCGGATGCAGCACAAGTGTAATTTAGGTAACACTAGACTAAAGTAGATGTGCTGCCATCTATTGTTCACTGTGAGTAATTGCTCACTGTAATGCTGTGAGAAACTGCTTTGTGAAGTGAACACTGAACAGATTAACTTCTGTATAAATTGATGTAGAAATACATGGTGGAGTAATTGGTGTATGAGCATCATATGACATTTTGGTTTTATTTGTTTATTCAATAATTTGCATTTATTTGTTTAGCAGATGCTCATTATATGTCATATTCAGAGCTACTTATAAAATGTGCAGTGAAAACCAAACAAATCCAGAGCGCTCAGAGAATCTGCCTGAATTGTTCAGGCAGAACAATTCAGGTCACGATCCGATCACTCAAATCACGATCACCATTTGTTTCAGGACTGAAACGTATCTGGACAAACTTTGGCTGGATTCCATTGACACTTTTCACTAAAATGTGCCCCAGTGTGACCAGATCAGATCCGGTTTCACTTTCCCCATCAACACATACATTGTTTCCGTTTTACTTTTTCCCCCTATACCAGCGGCCGACAACATGTGGCTCTGGGGCTGCATGTGGCTCTTTTACTGCCCTGTTGTGGCTCCACAGCAGAATTAGATTTTAGATAAAAATTAAATAATCCTCCTTTACAGTAAAATAAAGCTCTGCTGATCGTTTAACACAGTTTAACAATAAATGATCTTAAACTCTGGAGTTAATGTAGAACTACTGATTCACCCTTTAACCCTGAAGATCAGCGCAGACTGCTGGTAACCATAGCAACACAGACAACAGTCTTGTCTAGCTAGTAGCTAGAAACGGAAAAGAGATTTAAGACGAACATCGATAATTTGGAGACTAATGGACTTATTTGCGTTTATAATCACCCCAGCTGGTTTCCTGATACCTTTAATCTGCCAAAACTGTCAAACACTAAAAAGTCACGAAGCTGAAGTCGCTTCTCATTCGCGAGCTTCTCATTTGAATTGTCTTGTTCCACCTTTAATGGTGCAGCAGTTACATTCTGGCACCTCAGGCAATATTTAAGGTGGAACGGGAAAATTCTATCAAGAAATTGGTGAATGAGAAGCGACTTCAGCCTCGCAAAAAAATCGAACTTTGAGAGACATTTTACAAGAAACTCTTCTACTTTTGAGAAAAGTTTCCTGCCGGAGATGCGAGAAAATCAGCTATAACTGAACTAAAGCTTAAAGTAGAGCAAAGTTAATCTGTGTTGTCGTTTATATTATATCTTTAGCCTATACTAGTATATTAGCACACACTGAGACATATTTACAGGCAAGATGATAAAACGTTACTTAAATAAATGGACATAAAATCTTGTGGCTCCCAAAGTGGTTTGATTTTTGTTGAAAGGACAAAATGTTTCTTCTTAATATTTGGGTTTCCGACTGGATCACTGCCCTACACGATATGAGTGGACAAGCTTGTCTTGGACGCTTCAATCAGCGTGGAGTGAAAGAAGCTCTTGATTTGGGTTTTTAAGTCCATCTTTTGTTTCCTTGTTTATCCTCTCACTTGCTAGTCAACGCTCGGCAGACACCTTTCACTCATGCAGCTGTATACGGATAGCGAAAATGCATTCTGTGTTAAATGTGGCCACCTCTGAATGTGTTTGAGTGATCTGATCATAATCTGATCACAATGCTTTATGGGTCTATTTACACCTGGCTTTTCAAACAAAACCAAAAACGCATGTTAATGCTAGGAGTAAACAGGCCCGAAGGGTGAGAGACAGATCTTCACCACATTTAACACAGTTGTGTAAACGGAATATGTTTTCATTATCTGTACAAAATGATCTGAGTGGAAATGCATTGACTAGCGAGTAAGAGGATAAACAACTAAATGAAACGTGGACGACAGGCGAGGCTGGAGTTCCCCAAACCAAAAGTCTTAGTAAACTCCGGGCAGGAGGTCTGCATTCCTGCGTGACCCAACATGATATCTTGTGGCGCTGAGCTGTTTTTCAATGTGGTTCCCTGGAGCGGGAAATGAACCTGCCCAGTGCGGGTGGGAGCGGGACAATGTGTAGAGAAATGAATAATTAGCCTACATAAAGTGTAAATCACGTAGCAAAGGCTCAGGAATGTCTGATTCTGAGCTGTCATTCAAAAAGTCATGTGCATTTGAATCGCAGTTATTGTCAATAACTGAGTGCGAGCGACAACAGTAGCGAAGTGCGTTCGTCACGCTCAGGTAACGCGAGTTAACTGCCATTAGAAAAACGCACAAAATATTCTAAACACGATCTGCCTTTCTGCCAAGCTGCATCTAAAACAAGATTGCTTCAATCTAATTAATCAGCTGGCCAGCCTGCTAAACTTGAGGGCAACATGGATCAGAACTCATATAAATAAGGCATTTAGTGTCCAGCTATCACACATCAGTGCCTGTGGCTTGTTCTTTGTTGAAATAGAGGGGTAGGGCATCAGTTCTGATGAATCAGTTCTGCTGCACCATTTAAGGTGGAACGTGGAAATTTAGAGAAGAAGCTGGAGAATAACTGACTTCAGCTTCATATCACTGAAGAATTAGGGGTGAGCGATAATAAATAATGCTTTGAAGGCATATGATGCCCCAAATTTAACTATAGCTCAGCAGTGAGGAGCTGAACTTTACCCTCCTCTGCTATCACTGCAGACTGGCAGGGTTGCCTACAGAGCAGCGCTAGTAGCCTGTTAATGAAGTTGACTATTACAAACTTGCAGTCAGGAAAGTTGATGAGCACTGTGTCTTAGTCATGAAGTGGCTTCAGGGTCAGCAAGCAGGATCCTCAGAAAATCCTGAAGCCAATCACAATGTAAGAGAAAGTACAGAAAGACATAAGTGAAGTTCAGGTTGTGCCTGTTGTAAAAATCATGTGGATCACTGTTTAGGTGTCCACAGGTTTCACCTGGATTCAGCCAGTGTGTGGTCTGTTGTTGCAATTTCTAATAAAAACAGAAAATCAGTAAAGCAACGGAGTCGCAACTGAAACTCCAAAGCAATATATTTGTTTAGGAATCACGACCAGGGAGAAGATCATGGAACAAACCCAGGGATCTCCAGCTGAATCAAGGGTTACAGAAGGTTAAACAGTTCCTATAAGGGTGTCGTTATACCTAATTCTGATATGAATAAATAAGACAGTGTTAATGTAAATGCATAATCAATGAGAAGGAAGTAAATTCATTTATGTGAAAATCTGCAGCTTCAAGGCCGTAAGTAGCCCACCATCGCGTCATCAACCGGCTGGTCTTCAGCTGAAGCAGCAGAGATAAATTTTCTACACTAATGAAACGAGGAGACGGTCAACTCCTTTAATTTACAGCACACTGAAGTGACCATCAGGGTCACACAGTTTGCATGTACACAGAAAAGCCAATGAGAGTTCACTATAAAATGTATTGTGATTAACTGTAGAATCAACTATTAATATGTGAAACTACTGTCTTTCTAACCACAGGTCCTGATGCATCTCAGCTGTCAACAAGTGTTTGTCGCAGTATTGCTCATTCCGCTGCTTTCCCACAGCTCTCAGCTCAAAGACTGGAAGCAGATCAGAGAAATTGTAAAATATTCTAAACACGATCTTCCTTTCTGCCAAGCTGCATCTAAAACAAGATTGCTTCAGCCTAATTAATCAGCGGTCATTGCTGGCCAGCCTTCTAAACTAGTCAACATGGATCAGAACTCATATAAGTAAGGCATTCAGTGTCCAGCTGTCACACATTACTGCCTGTGGCTTGTTCCTCTGCTCATTAGCAATCTGCTAAATAAGCCACTCACTCACAGACTCTCACTGTGAAGCGCTGCGCCTGCTTTCGTTCTTGTCTTGTTGCCAGTCACATGTTTGTATCTTGTATTTTGCTTGTTCTGCTGTTTTAGTGTTGTTGGCTTCAGCATTAGCAGTGGCACGTGTTAGCACACCATCTGCAATAGCTTTGGTTTTAGCATTAGCATTGGTAATAGTATCAGTGTTAGCATTAGCATTCTTTCTTAGGCTTTCTCTGTTATTTGAGTCCTGGCATGAAAAAGTTCGGAAACTCTTAAATATGACATATACAAATGAAATCATAGGTTTGATAGAAATCTTGAAACATGAACGTTTATATACTGTGACACAAAAGTATATTGACCTGTTCTGAGAATTTAACATAAAACTAGTATTTTAAAGTTGAATTATGTTATACTTTATAATTTATATAACATATTTGTACACTGTAAAACTTGTTTGTTAGTTCAACCTAAAAAACAATATTTATGAGACATTAAACAATTGAATATCTTTTTTTATTAAAAAAAAAAAAATCCTGAAACCAATCACAATGTAAGAGAAAGTACAGAAAGGCTAGACATAAGTGAAGTTTTTGCTCATTCCTCATTCCGCTGCTTTCCCACAGCTCTCAGCTTAAAGACTGGAAGCAGATCAGAGAAATCAGAAGCAGAAGGCAAGCTAACGTTACAGGAGTCACTCTCAGCTGCGAGGCGCTGTTCCCCAAGCGGTAAGATGCGACTGTCCTTTCTTGACCGTTCTCTGAGGCTATGCACTCATACTGACCCAGGTCCTCTTCACTCATGTTTTCTATTAGTAGAAGACATTCCTCTTCAGTGGAGACACAATCTATTGTCTTGCCGTTATGTTTCCAAGTGTATGAGGCATGCAGAGAGGAAGTGGGGCATTCAAGGTAGTATTTGGAGTTTGGAGGGACGATCAGGGGTGATTCTGACGTCACACTGGTCCCAAGATCCCTGGCTTTGGGACGAAAAATAGTAACTTTACAGGAGAGGGCAAAAACAGTCTTACCTTTCAATTTAAGGTAATGTAAAAAGATTTTATTCCAAGTGATTTTAGAGCATTTCTGTTGGTCCATTCATCATGAAATGTTCACACAACATAAAGGACAGCTGGTGTGTTGAAATGATGCAGAAAAATAAAAATCGACAAAAAATGGAGATACATGGTTTTCATTGGACAGCGACGATATACAACTGCTCACAGACTTTTTTTGGCTATTATGTCATTTTCATAATTACTGAATATTACCAAGTTAAAAAATGAAGAATACGTATGTACTGATATAGATAATTTTGACAATTTTGTGGAATCATCATGTCCGCAACCATGACAACAAACAACCCACAGTGCTATTTGGACTTAGACCGGACTTATTAGTAGACAAAACTGAGTTAGTTTAAAATTCTCCCTTTCTTGTAGGAAATGAGTGGAGGTGAACAAGTGGCAAAATTAATAACACTGAACAGTGAATATTACTCGAGATTCACCGTGAAAGCTGTGTATGTGCCCATGTGGTGGGTTAGTTTTAACACGGAGTAACAACTAAAACCGCCAAACAAACACCGAGAGAAACTACTTTCTCCAATATAAGTGTAGTGTAGTATAGATGTCATGTTAGTAAACTATATTTCAGTTTTTATTGTGCTGGTATTTCCTCGTCTGCTTTGTATTCAATAATACATTTGACACACTCTATTTCTGCTAATCATATTTATTTCGATGTATTTGATTGCTTTAAACAGCACAGATTTACATTAAATTGACTGTGCTTTTAATAAATTTGCCAGACTTTTAATGACTGTTACAACTAGCTCCTTCGGTGAAAGAGGTACCTCTTGCACTTCTGCTGTTTTAGTCCAAATTATTCTCTGCTGGAAACAAAGTTCACATTTTCTTTTGTATCAGAGACGAGTAAGTTGTTTGTATGAAAAAACCTGTATGTGTTACAAACTGCGAAATAAAAAAACGAGACACAAAAGCAAAAAACACTTTCATCAAAATGACAACATGTGCGCTGCATTTTACAAACACTCTGCAAAACAATAAAACGTGCTGCAAATTCATAGAACTTGCTTTGGTTTGCACCCTAGAGCAGAGATTTGCAACACAAATGTTAAGAAGAATCATTTTGTCCATCAACAAAAATCGAACTACCTTGGGAGCCACAACAATTTATGTCCATTTTATTGAAGTAACGTTTTACCATGTTGGCTGTAAATATGCCTCAGTATGTGTTAATGTGCTAGTATAGGCTAAAAAATATAAAATAAATAAAAGCACAGACTAACTTTGCTCTGCTTTAAGCTTTAGCTCAGCTATAGCCGCTTTTCTCGCATGTCTGGCAGGAAACCTTTCCACAAAAGTAGAATAGTTTCTTGTAAAATGTCTCGCAATATTCGATTTTTTGCAAGGCTGAAGCTTCTCGTTCGCCAGCTTCTTGTTCGAATTTTCCCGTTCCACCTTAAATTCTGCCTGAGGAGCCAGAATGTAACTGCTGCATCATTTAAGGTGGAACGGGAAAATTCGAACAAGAAGCTGGCGAACAGAAAACTGACTTCAGCCTCCTGACTTTTTAGTGTTTGTCAGTTTCTCTCTGCAGATTAAAGGTATCAGGAAACCAGCTGGAGAGATTATAAATGCAAATAAGTCCATTTGTCTCCAAATTATCGATGTTCGTCTTAAATCTTTCTCTTTGCCGTTTCGTTAGTTTCTAGCAAGGCGAGATTGTTGTCTGCGTTGCTATGGTGACCAGCAGTCTGCGCTGATCTTCAGGGTTAAAGGATGAATTAGCAGCTCTACATTAACTCCAGAGTTTAAGACCATTTACTGTTAAACTGTGTTGAAGGATCAGCAGAGCTTTATTTTACTGTAAAGGAGGATTATTTTATTTTTACCTACAAATCTAATTCTGCTGTGGAGCCACAACAGGGCAGTAAAAGAGCTGCATGTTTTCGACCTCTGCATCTGTGTGACTTGAAAAACCTTCTGTAAGAGGACTATGAAAAAAAAATCTTCATAGAGCTGACCCTACCATTATCTGAGAGTGAGTGCTCCATGATTGGATAATTTGTCATTAAGCATTTAAAGATTTTTACCTTTTGTTTCCAACCAAACAGTACAGTTTACATGCATAACAAGCATAATAAAATGAAATAATTACAGACAAACTCACAGAAATGATTAGGCACCAGTCTAAAAGGCTGTAAGAGTTTCCCTCTGATTAAAGGCAAATAAGTCTTGTACATTTTAATTAGCAGAATGCAGTTGTTGTAATCATGGCATGAATGCATTGTTTGCTGAGCAAGTTATCACTAGAATGTGGGACAGGTTTAGTTTTAAAACCAGCAACAGCCACAAACATGCAGACCTACCTGCTTCACAAACAGCGTAATCTCCATTTGTTACGTCTTGAACTGAGTATCTGTGAAAAGAGCACAGTTTGATCTTTTAATGTATGAACTGTAAACTGTACTCAATCGGAGATCATTTGGGAAGCTAACTATGAATCTCTCAGCCCTCACATGCCGCTTATCAAATGATGGATGAAGCTGAAATTCAGCCCAATTCTGAGGATTAATCAATCTGAAAAGTAAACAAATTGTTGGAAGAGGTAACACAGTAATATGAACATCACTGAATCCTTCTACTCTGCTTTTACTTGTTACACATAACTCGTTTAAACCACAAACGGTTATTAGAATATGATCCAGTACTTACTCAGTAGCAGGCGAACATTCAGTCCCGCTCCAGCCGCAGTAAGGGTCTCTAGCCAACACACAGTCACACTGTTTCCCATATACGCTGCAGTCCTGCAGGTCGATTTGGACCAGCTCACTGCTGGAGCTCACATACAGCTTTTTCTGCAATGAAGGATGAAAATGTGCTGTACATTCACTGACCACTTTATTAGAAACCCCTCAGCTGTGGTTCTATCTTGCTGGTGTAGAGTTAGAGACTGTAGCACATCTGTTAATACACAGTCTGTGTTTGCCATCTTTTAGACCCTCATCAGTGGTCAGTTTCTGACCATTTATGCTGATCTTGGCTGGATATTTCTGTGTGGTGGTCCACTATCTACCTATCAGTGACAGTGTCCAGCAACACTGCTGCTTCTGATACACTCGTACCAGCACCACACACACTACTATGTCACCCGAATAATATCTGGACAGCAGTGGTCCTGTGGTCAGAAACTAACAAGTGATAAATAGAGTACAGGAGAGTAAATTATGGAGCAAGATAAAGGCTACAGTCTGTAATTCAAAAAGGGGTCAGTGAGTGAAATTAAGAGTAGGAAGGAGTTTCTAATAAAATGGATAATGAGTTTATAGACAGGTAATAAACATGTCTAAAGAAAGATTATTATAGCAATAGCAGCAGATTCGGCTGTGACAGATAATGTGAACTGACTACAGGCTGACTGTGCTAATAATGCTTCTCAAAACATTTCAGCAACATTGCTTCAGCACATGCTCTGCCTTAATGCATTTTCTGTCACTTTACTGCAGATTTGAACGTGACCCTGAGAGAGTCTGTGTTTCTCTTACTGTGGATCTGTCCAGCAGCATGCTGTGGATGCGTGTCTCACTTTCAAACGGCTGGTATTCGGCGATGATGAAGGGACCATCATCCCGCTCCACCACTTTATGGATCCTGCCATTCCCTGAGGTATAAAAAATACATTCACATACACAGACTGTCAACAATTTAGAGACAAAGGCTACGTTCACACAGCAGGTAAAAGTGGCCCAAACCTAATTTTCTTACCAAATCCGATTTTTTGTTCGGCTGTTCACATTATCTTTAAAATGTGATCTGTATGTGACATCAGTCTGAACAGATCAGCTCCTAAACTGACCCGCATGCACAAAAGATCAGTGCTTCACGTTGCTTCACGTGGCTCACCGAGAGGTAAACAATCATGAGTGCCAATGAATGCCAGTCGCTCCCGGAGGATCAGCTTCACCTTCACCAGCATCACAGGAAGATCATGAAGCTTCACTGACTGACAGCTGGGCTCATCACCCAGAATGTGTTCGAGCCGTAAAAAGGGCACGTTATTCGGCCACGGTCACTTTTGGTTTACATTCTCAGATTCTTTAAACTTTGCTTTCAACTTTTCCTCTTGTTCTTCTCCAGCTGCGTTCAGTCATTTCTTTCAAAATCTCTTCGAACATGGAGCGGTTTGGATAAGTGCCTTCTAATTTTTTAGTACAGAAACATCAGCCTAAATGTTTATGAGGTCTCAGCAGCGCGAAATGATGATGAATGTCGAGTTGGATTGACGCGAAAGTTGCATGAATTCTGATCCGGCTGTTCAGAGTCGCATTGCAGCAGATCGGATACGTATCGCACAATTTTTTGCCCTAATGTGACTCAGATCTGATGTTTTCAGGGCTGTGTGGACACGCAAATCTGATCTTGTCAAATCCGACCTGAGCCACTTTCATACGTGGTCCTGGATCGGATACATATCCGATTCATGGTTCCGTTTGCACAGAAGTTTACCCACCTAGGGTCAATAAGAGGACGCTGTGTTGAACGTTATTCCTACTGGTCACCCTGTCCACCTGCAGGTGCGTGTACTGGGATTGGCTGATCAGCAGGGGACCTCGCTCAGGCTCGATCCATTCTGCCATCTCCGGACGCTTTTCCATAAACTTCAGAAAGACTGAGCTTTTGTCTGTAACACACTGTAAGACACAGAGACGTTACAGCATCTCCAGTCTTGATTCTACATAACGTTGAATATTACACATTTGCTTTTGCAGTAAGAGATTTTTCCCCTCAGAGACCTGATTTTCAAACTTACTGTGCACATTAAAATACAGCAAACTGCACCTTTACTGTGGCCTACTAGTAAACTCAGGGCCGCCCTGAGGACAGTGACAGTAGTTTGGTTACTCTTTACTGGATTAGATCACTATTAAATCAAATGAAACAATTATTAATATATCATGTGCAGTGTATCCACAAAAATATGTTTTCTACATTAGTTTTGCCCTTAAGCTACAAAGCAAATGTGGCTAACAAGCAATGGAAGCTTATACTGCTCTATGCTAGAATTATGCTACACCAACAGACTTACTTATATGTTTCTGACCCCGATACCTAACATAGATGAGAAACACGGATGCGCTGGCTAATCACAGTCTGTGCTGCAGGTACAAAAGTGCCTGTACTAAAAGCTGCCTGTCTGGAATGGTGTTCGTTTTGGGACATCTTCACACCACAGCATCAGGTTTCAGACTGACGAAAGGTGAAAAGATTTGTTCCAAACGGTCTCAGGGGAAACCGCTTCAGAGAAGAAGGCAGGCTAAGCTAAGCAGCCACAAACTCTCAGATGTGTGACATTCATAATTTGTGGCCAAATTAAAGACGACAGTACATTACCAATACACCTTTAACTGAAACACGCTTATTGTTGTTCTTATACTTGCCAAAGACTAAGATTCAACTTATACACTATCACTGTGTTTGCTCCTTATAATGTATATTTGCTCCTTACAAATGTATATTTTGCAGCATATCTGTCTTGGCAGAAAAGTTGCACTTTATTCCACTGAGCAGGATGGTACCTCTCCAGCAGCCGGAGGAGGAGCTTCCACTGGGGATCTGAATATGGAGCTTTTGAAGATCCGAGTGATTGTGGACATTTTGTAAACACACACGGCGCTGATGTTACTGTGGGAGAAACACACAAACTCAACTAGACACATATTTTTATATATATACATATATATATATATATATATATATATATATATATATACACACACACACATACATATATATAATATGTATGTATCACTGCTGTTGGAACAAAACCTCGTATCTCCAAAATGGTAACTCTACAGGAGAAGGAAAAAAAACACTTTATTTTTAATGTAAGTCAATGGAACCAGACAGTTTACCAAGTAATTTTGGTCTGTTTGTTTTGGTCCATTCTTCATGAAATTTACACACAATGTAAATGACAACAGGTATTTTCAAATCATGTCAAAAAAGCTGAAAAACGACAAAAATGGAGATACAAGGTTTTGTTCTGACAGCAGCGATATATATATATATATATATATATATATATATATATATATATATATATATATATAGCTGTTGTCAGAAGAAAACCTCATATCACCAAAATGGTAGCTTTACAGGAGAAGGAAAAAACATACTTTACTTTTAATGTAAGTCAATGGAACCAGACTTTTTTCCAAGTCATTTTGGGCCGTTTCTTTGGGTCAATTCTTTATGAAATTTAACACAATGTAAAGGGCAACAGGTATTTTCAAATTATCTCAAAAACAGAAAAACAACAAAAATGCACATTCGAGGTTTTCTTCCGACACCAGCCATATATATCATGTATCATGATATCAGATTTTTATAAGCTTAGTAATCTTGTACGGCCAGACGTAGTGTAGGAATATTAGGCCGGTAGTGTTATTGATGGCCGTGTGGTGTTGTGTAGATACGATGTGGATCATTCATCAGGCTTTATATAAATATGTAGCTGTGCAGATGTGCATATAGATCTAATTCAACCAAAAAAAATTACATTTAGCAAAATGGCCCCTAAACCAGAACTGTCAGAAAAACATCAGAGAAGACAGAGAGAAAAAATATAGTATAAAGAGGGACATAATTGAAAATCACTGTAGAGACAGCAGAAAGAAAGGAGAGAGGACAAAATAAGCAAAGTATTGAAAAATATAGACAGTTCAGGGACAAAGCCTCCGCATCAGATGTGTCCATCCTTCAAAGGTTTTTAAAAATATTAAGCCAATTTAGTTCATGATTGTCATTTATTTGCCTGAACGGTTTGTTGCTCTTCAAAGGATTTTACTGCACTGCTGGTAGGCCAACCCCAGTAACGGACCGATCGGTGGCTGTGGATAGATCGTCTATTTCTGCCTGAAAGCTTTTGTTGTATCAGGCAGTCACTGTTACAGTAACGGTAGACCGAAACCAGCTGTATTCTGAGCCAAATCCTTAAGTGTTCAGTAAGATTTCATTTACCATTCCAGCGTTTTGCGATGTGGTCTTTCCAGCCACTAATCCACAACTGTATTCTTAAAAAAGTCAGGATTTTGGTCTTTTTTTTAATTATCTTCTTTTTAAAGTAATCACAAATAATGTGTGTTATTATCAGGTGAGAAGCACACTGGGCACCATCTTACTAGTGGTTCTTGAAGAGCGCATAAATCATGGTGTTGTCCCAGTTCTCTGCCTCCAATACAGCAACATCCAGCAGTTCAGTGAAAGTCACTCTCCTCTTCTTGTCTCCACAGAACAGGCGTGCGGTCAGCATGGACGTCCAGCGGTACTGCAGTTGGTTTTTTCTGCCCCCTGTATCTGACTGGTGGAGATGCAGTGAATACATAGCTTATTATAAACAAAACAAGTTTTGTATGAATTACTAGATTTTCCTGGATCCAGTTCAAACCACAGAAACATGGAAGCAGCTCACACCACTGTTCTATAGCAGTGGTGTAAATGTGTATTGAGATACATGGCCTGCATTGTTTAGCTTATAATCGTCAGGCCCCTTCGGAGCAGAGTTAGAGCAGGTAAAACACTACCTGTGAAGAATTACTGTACCTGACAGTAATCCTCTCGTGTAAAACACTGTACTGATGAAATATGTTATCACAAATAACATCATGGCTATGATTTGTTTGCAGCGAATAGATTAGAGTCTATCCGGTCTGGGGGAAAGTGAAACAATACTGTAATAGATCAAAAAACATGTATTAGGTACTTATAATCACTTTTATTATTACATTATAAAAATATACATATCGCTGCTGTCAGAACAAGACCTTGTATCTCCAAAAACGAAAACTTTACAGGAGAAGGAAAAAACCTACTTGACTTTTAATGTAAGTCAATGGAACCAGACTTTTTTCCATGTCATTTTGGTTTTCTTTTAGTCTATTCATCATGAAATTTACAGCGTAAAGGGACAAAAGGCATTTTCAAATTATGTCACAAACTGAAAAAATTCAGATACAAGGTTTTGTTCCAACAGTAGTGATAAATGATCAATTAATTGTTAATAAATGTATTATATTTCTGTTGTTAATCTTTCCAAATTTTTTAACCTATAGCCACCAAACTTCGCACAAATGTTCATCAAGGAATACAGGAATACCGAGCTTGTGTGTTTTGAACCAATAGGACACAGAGGCAAACATCTGGAAGTTTGGTAGCAACCTTGAGGAAGCCCTTAGTAACCACCTGGGATACCATAGCAGTGTCCTAACAATGCCTTAGCAACCACTTAGAATACCATAACAACACCTTAGCAACTATGATTGCATAATAATGGCCTAGCAACACCGCCGCAACCACCTTAGATATCAACAGCATAGCAACAGCTTAGCAACCACATATCAAGAACGTAGCAATGACCTAGCACCCACCTCACAACCACCAACCAACACCTGACACAACAAGCTGCAATACCCTGGTAGAATGGTACAATGGGTGGCATGGTAGCGCTGTTGCCTCACAGCAAGAAGGGCCTGGGTTCGATTCCCCGGCCGGGCGACCAGGCTCATTTCTGTGTGGAGTTTTCATGTTCTCCCCGGTCTGCGTGGGTTTCCTCTGGGTTCTCCGGTTTCCTCCCACAGTCCAAAGACATGCAATCAGGCCAATTAGTCTAAATTGCTAAATTGCCCCTAGGTGTGAGTGTGTGGGTGAATGTATATGTCTGTCTGCCCTGCGATGGTCCTGTTCAGGGTGTATTCTCCCTTCCACGAAATGACTGCTGGGATAGGCTGCGACCCAGAAGGATAAGCAGCTTAGAAGATGTGTGTGTGTGTATTCATCATTGTTTCATTTTATTTTTTAATAAATGTTTTCCCTACTTGTAGAAGCACCTGACAGTAATTTTTATATATATATGGGTTGATCTCACAATCTACTAATGAGGAAGAACATTGTTGTGTAACACTTTTACATAAGTAGAAAGTGACCCATTGACCCGCTGACCTCAGCTGTAAGCAGGTATTAAGACACAATCCTTCAGAAATAACCGGAGAATGTTGATCCATTTCTAATGTTGCCTGAATGTTTTTCTGTCTGCCGTTTGGAGATTCCAGAAGGAGTGCTCTGTTTGTGTCCAGCTTGGGGTTTTACTCATTTTGTTCCTGAGGCCAAAACCACCGTAGCTCTTAAGTTGTCCCAAAACACAATGCTTACCATGCAGTACTGAGAAACTCGGGGAATCCATAAGGGCGTCTCCGGGTCCTCACTGAGATTCTTCTCTGTGTAGAAGCTGTACAGTTTTCCATCCTCTGCAGCACTGCCTTCGTTTGCAATGAGTTTAATGTACCTCTGCGCTGAGTGCCAGAAAAACACAGAATTTCTTAAACTTAGTTTAACCGAAGGTCCAACATGACTGACAGGAAATGAGGGCTCCTTCACCAATAGTAATCAATAATATGGAACACCTTTCCCACCAGGTAGAGGAGAAATCAGTCACCTATGATTTTTTTTTCTAGCAGCAGTATGTCAAAATATTGACATAGTATCCTAAGATAATTTATTATTTTCTCAAAATACTGACTTAATAGCTTGAAATGAATAACTTATTATAAAGCAATATTTATTTAGTATCTAGAAAAAAATGATTTAAATCTTGAGATTTTGAAAACCATGTCAGCGTTATTAAACTTCAAGAAAGTAGGTCATTAATAAAGGAAAATAAGACATTATGACAATATTATAAGTCATTACCATAGTAGCCATTGTTCCAACATGTTAAGTCAATATTTTGAGACAGTCATTATTACAAAAATAAATCAGACACAAACTCATTATTCTGATGTAGTAAGTCATTATTTTGGAAGAATAAGTGGATATTTTGAGAAAATAAGTTATTATTATGAGATTAGTCATTATATTCACCTCATAATATACTGGGATGAAAAATCATTAACAAATAAAAAGTGCTACATTCAAAGTAAGAGACAGTTGGCTATTTGTCAGATTTAACAGAGCCCAGAAACTGCCTAGCAGAGCTTCATAGAGCAGACAAGTCAATGATGAAACAAAACAGGGGAAAACAGAACTAAACTGGAAACAAAACCTGACAACAAGACCAGTGAAAACAGGCAACAGGGTAACCGACAATGCAAGACAAAGGGACTGGGCAAACACAGGGGTATAAATACACTGAGGGGAAACAAGAAACACCTGGGACTTAGAGCTGGGCGATATGGCCAAAAACGTTATCACGATAAACAAAATTCATATCGTTCGATATCGATATATATCGCGATAAATGTCAAATCATGATTTCTTTCACGTTTGAAGGCTGATTTTGCTCCTGGGTGGTTAACTGTGGTTTTAAACTATCACTTATGGTCCGATCATGACAAACACTCGGCAAACAGTGGAACATTTCACACATCTGTCTTGGGACAGTGGGAGAAAGTTTCTGAGCTGTTTTTATCAGCTGGAAAAGCACAGCTGCAATTTTTGTAATAGTCATGATTTAAGAAAGAAAACAGATTATTTTAGCGGTCTGGTGACGAGCGCTCGGCTACCCCGTTACAAATGCTAAACAAGTGGCCAACAACAGTGCTAAACTCTTTAGTTTCTCAACAACGTCAACTCGGTTCGGTAGGTCACTGCGGTCACTCCTACCATATCCATGTCAGAGCAGATCACAGTATTCAGACACCAGCTAGCGACGACTGGGTTTCTCTATGCTATCGTAGTAGTTTAAGGGGTGAACCGCAGTGTATCTGACGTTCGCTGTGTAAAAGCGTTATCTGCAGTGTGAATCTCTCACACCAGACAAACAGAGTCCTCCTTTTAGGCATGTTTAAACTGAAAGCGGTGATTTTGTGTCTTGTTTGATCTACAGTATCATCAATTCACCGTGTTGTGCTGGAGCGCTGCTTCAAGTTAGCCAGCAGCTAAAAACAGCTAGCCTGCAAAGACAGCGCTCTCCCGCTCTTCACTGCCTCACAGCTTCCTCAGTTTACTTTCGTTTAAATCGGAGCTGTAATTTACATGAACCCACTTCTTTCTTTCACTTTCGTTGCTCGAGAATGCACTAATACTAAAATATGACGGTTTGGCGCTGTAACACGGCGCTGCAGACGTGATTTAACACCGCTAAAGTTGTTAGGATGCACGGAAAGAGGTGAGTTCGCTGTAGGACAGTACAGTTACACCACTGACCTCGTCACTCACACTCGGTCACAGGAGAACAGATCGCCGGTTGCAACACTCAAACAGGGACTGTATAATTCCGCGTTTCAGCCGTTGCTAAAGTATATTTGGAGACCCTTTTTTTACTCGTGGCCCCCTCCCTCTCTAATCAAGTCGAAAAACTTGGAAGTGCGCCCTCTCCTGGCGACAGCAGAGTAGTGTCACTTTCCTTGCAGTAGAAAACGCCACCAGGGCTTTCGCTAAAACGTGGAAGTGTGAGAATGGTGTATTATATCGAACATTTATCGAACCTGTCTTATCGCTCTATCGAGGAAAAGTTATATCGCGATACTTATCGTTATCATTTCATCGCCCAGCCCTACTGGGACTAATGAGAGGGTGGGGCTACAGACAACAGGCAGGTGGAACAGATGATGGTGGGGCAGAACCAGGGAGGAGACAGACCACAACACCAACAAAGGCACATGGCACTGGGAAACAAGAAAACCAAGGCTAAAACAGAGAAAGACAAGGACCAAACAAGACAGGACGTTACACTACTTAGCACAATGAGTCACGCACTCCGTGCTATTTTGGTACAGGTACATTCAAATACAGTTTGAGTGCACCCATCCTACCTCTCCTTATTGATGACATGAAATTACAACACAGACTGGTCAAGATACAAATCATAAAGTGATTGCCGATATTTTGTAAAACAAAAATCTGTCGTTTCTGAGCTTAGCTGATTCTGACTACTCAAGATTAGCCACATTAATTATGCCCTCAGTTAGCTGGATAACTTCAGGCCAAAGTCAAGTCTGTCCAGTTGGAGGAGAGCTAAGGACAGCTCTTACTCTTACTGTGGGCTCAAGTCATTAAGCTATCTAGGCCGTTTTGCTTTGTGAAACAACCCCTACCTCGCGGTTTGTTCCTAGGAAGTCAGCTAGTATCCAGTGGTGGACAAAGTACACAAATCATATACTTGAGTTAAAGTAGAGATACCCAAGGTAAAATATTACTCCAGTAAAAGTAGAAGTTCCTCCCTTTAGACCTCCACTTGAGTAAAAGTACAAAAGTATTTGCCTTCAAATGTACTTAAGTATCGAAAGTAACAGTACTAAAAGATTAATTATGACTCTAATGTCCTATTATGATGTTTGTAAGAAGACTCTTGATTTATTAACTAATTTTAGGTGAAAATACTCCAGTGTCACTCTTGGTAACCAGTCTTTTAATAGAATAGAATAATTCTATTAGAATTATTAGTCTAACAGAATAATTCGTCTGACGCTGATGTCTATTAAAATTATCATAAGCACAAAACACTGAAGGCAAACAATTTCCATCAGGGAGAACTGAGTGGCTCTGAAATCACTTTTTGTGAACAAGTAAAGTTTCAGTTTAAGATTTATTTGAACTTAGTCACAAGTTTAAGTTCAATAAAACTTTAAACTCAGATTCACAAATGAGTTTCCTTACTAAACTGCATCTGTAGGTCTCTGTTCATAAACATAAACTAGCCAAAACTAATTTACTATAAGATGAAATGTGTTTGTATAAATTCAGGAAAAAGACACGTCAGTCACAACTGCATATGAGTACATATTTCTATATTGTGGTCTGTTTACACAAAGTTAGGTTAGTTCATCATTTATGTTGAACAGACTCTCTCAAACTTTCACACTGCTGCACTGACATCCTTGCACTGGGTCGGTATGTCCAACAGGTCAAAACAAGCTCAAAACTAAGTGACCGCTGTGCCCTGATTGGTGTTCTTGCTTTGCGCTTCTTTCATTTTGACATGTTACGTTTTTATACACACATAAACGAAAAGGAACGACAGATTTCTCATAATGTAGTGGAGTAAAAAGTGAGATATTTGACTTTGAAATGTAGAGGAGTGAAAGTAAAAAGTCACCCAAAATGGAAAAACTTCAGTAAAGTACAGACACACGAAAAAACTACTTAAGTACAGCAGTGAATTACTTTTATTTAGTTACTGTCCACCACTGCTAGTATCTGATGCCACTCAGCTCTCTTACCTATTTCTCTCGTCTGTGGCCATGTGTAGTCGTATTTTGCCTTCTGTCTGTAGAGTCCCAAAGTGGCAGCAGCATTATTCTGTCCAGAGATGGTGAAATAAAGCGTGTCTCCTGTCAAAAACCACACAGACAGATTACGTTCAAGCCAAAAGTCTTGGGCCAGTTTCATCAGTATCAGCCATGTTAGTACGTTTATAACACGTATGACGATCAGCTGTGATCAGCATCAGCCTCGCTCAGAGGATTAGGGTTGGGTTTGGGTTATGATTAGAGTTATATCTATTTACAGTGGCTCTGTAAATATATATGCAACTGGTAACCACTGATAAACTTCAACAAAGCTTTTTAGATGATTTCAAAAAAGGTTTAACAAAATTACGCTTGTTTCAGAAAAAAGCACAACATCAATCTGAGGTGAGACTCTTTGTGTGACCTACAGTCTAATAAGCAAGACCGAGAGGGCAGGTTTACAGAACCATCATCTCTGATAGGAGAGCCATTTGACTGACATGCAAAATCACCCAACAATTGCAGAACAAAAATAAACTTCTATTAAATAAAGTAGAGTGGCTGTCGGCAAACGCTCTCTTTAAATGGGACATCATGAATGTTTAACGTATTCCGCTCTTAAAGGCTTACTGGTGAGTAGATGCAACTGCTTGTTACTAACACATTTATGGCTACTAGCATTTAGCTTGATAAACAGTCGGTTGTTCCCCATCAGACTGATGAAGCAGTGCACTGAAACGGCACCAGAGCCAGTTTAAGTCTCTGCGGGAGGTGAGATTCTGAGAGCTGAGGTGATTTTAGTGTGCAGTTTACATCAGACGGTCAGTGTACTGCTGTGCGCCGAATGTCAGAGGCTGGGAAAACTCCTCTGAAAGACACATTTATTGTCAAAGCACAACTCAAACACACATTGTTTTCTGGCACAATGGACTTTTTTAGTACAATACAAGTACAATGCAAATGTTCAAATGCCCTTTTGTGCCTTGTTTAGTGTGGGGCTGCATCTCTAACATCAGCTCAAACTCAGCTGAGATCCAAATTGCCAGCGAAAGAACTCACAGAGCTTTCGCTTCTGAAATGAACAAACTCCCTGTTCTCTGTTTGCTTTTCCAAACTGCACAGTGTCACAGTCTGTCCATTTCATGAGAAGCAAAGGACCTTTTGATATAGTTAGTATATATTTTGCCAACTATATGTTTGATATATATTCTAGCATTTTTTTCAGTGATGCGCAAAAAAATCACATCCGAATGTTTTGCGTTGTCGTGTCGTGGTTTTTCACTTTGCATTCTGTGTGTCGAAGCATTAACCCTTGTGTGGTGTTCATGCTTTTGTTACTTAGTGGGTCTGGTGGACCCATCACATGTTAAAAAAACAGATGTTTAAAATATCACTAGTGGTCAGCATAGCTCCTTTAGCAGCTGTAGCCAGTCAGCAGCCTGTCCATGTCGTCCACCCTCACACACACACACATACATATACAAACACATACACATGCAGACACACACACACACACACACACACACACACACACACTAACAGCAGGCCATGTAGGAGGAGAACAGAGTGAAGGACACAGCACCTCCACACTTTTACTCCCCGCGGGTTCATCTCAACACCACATGTGTAATGTAAGTGTGTGGGGGGTGAACAGAGTGAAGACACTGAAAATGGGTTATTTTATATGTTCTTCACAGAAAATGAGCAAAGGACAAGAAAACTGGGGTTGAAATAATAATAAATCACATCATTTTTCCTTTGTTTAACATTGAAAATGGGTCCCACAGACCTGAACACCACACAAGGGTTAATATGTCGGATTAACTACCAACATGATCAGCACTTCCAGTGGGTGGGACAGCAAACTAAGCTCTAGACCTTCTGGACATTCTGTGAACACGAGCCGTAATCCAACCAGGTTTTAGTTTGCTGTTAGAAATGGAAAACAGCTCTATGCCAGCGTTAGCACAGGGCTAACAGACTATTAGAAACACAGCTAGCAGAAATTAGCATTATCATAAGTGTTTTTTTTTCTCATTTTCTGACCATTTTGATATTTATGGCCCAAACTAAAGGCCAGGCTCTAATCACAGTTCACAACTGTAAACTACAGTTTTTTTATGTTAACTTTTAGTTAATCTTTCAGTATTTTGGGCAAAAAGGTTAATAACTGATAAATACCATAATGTTCTATTTATAATACTTTTTTGTAAAATTATCTGACGTGAGATTGAATCTCTTTTCACTTTTGAAATATGAGGCGTTCTGGATATTAATATTATTATTTCTGATGTTATACAGCTTTCTCAATCACTGTATCTCATGAGAGAAGGTTACAGTTTAGGTCTTTCCAGTAATTATCTGCAGAAATATACAATCATAACATTAATCTGTAAAAAATCAGTACAGTTTTCTTACCAGTGTACAGAGCGGTTTCATTTACATCCCCTGTATTTCCCTGCATTTCAAAGCAATCCACTGGATTGTGCTCTGAGTCCTGCCATAAAAACACACAGGGCCAGTTTATAAAGGCTTTCAGAGTAGAACATGATCGTGCTCACAGCCACAGATCCTTCTGTTCTGAGATGCTGTGAGCATCATGCACATATAGAACATAATTTTGAAGGGTATATGCTAAAACTCTGACATACCACTTTACAGCACTTTTTATCCTCCTTTCCACAGACAAACAGTGGATTTCCATTCTTTCCCTCCGTCAGCACAGAGATGGAATCCACACAGCCCTGGAAACATACAGCAAATTCAGCAACACATGTAAATCTGTCTGCTTTAACACAAGAAAGTTGTTAAGTAAATTATATTCATGTTTGAGAAGAGAGGACGAGTTCAGGCCTAAAAAAAACCCTGGGGAAGTTAACGTTTGTTCTGTTCCACATCTGTGCCAGATAACTGAGGGCAATAAAACAGCAAGCACCTGGCTCAGGTGTGCTGGGAACGGGAGAACAAAAACATGAATTGGAAGGTGGTCCTCATGGGCAAGATTAAGGCTGTCATATGGAAAATAAATACATGCAACGTGTATTTATCAAATATGTTTAAAAATGTATGAATTTTTTGGTTTAGTGTTCTTTAATGTTTGGAAAATATTTTGGAATGAAACAATGTAGACTATTTATAGTAAAGTATGTACAATGCGTTTTATTTCCATGTAGATGGGGCTGTAATTTTAGGCTAGAACATCACTCGCCTACATAGCATTACATTACACATTTCAACATGTTATACTTATTCCACTTTAGTTACACATTTGACATGCATAAACATTTATAGATGTGTAATACTTACAGATCTACCGTCCTCGCATTCATTCTTAAAAATGGCACAGGCTCCTACCAGAGAATGAAATACATACAACTGCGTTAGATACAAGTGCACTAGTTTGGGTTTGTCATCGTCTAGTCATCCTCAGAGCCACTCATGGTTGGATATTTGCCGGTAGTGAACAAATCTTAACATATAGATCAGACATAGCAGTGCTGCTCATTCGCTGTCCACTCTGTTAGACACTCCTACCTTGTCAGTCCACCTTTTAGATGTAAAGTCAGAGTCGATAGCTCATCTGCTGCTGCACAGTTTGTGTTGGTCATCCCCTAGACCTTCATCAGTGGTCACAGGACACTGCCCACAGGACGCAGTTGGCTGGATATTTTTGGTTGGTGGACTATTCTCAGTCCAGCAGTGACACTCAGGTGTTTAAAAACTCCAGCAGCACTGCTGTGTCTGATCCACTCAGACCAGCGCAACACACACCAACACACCATCAGTGTTACTGCAGTGCTGAGAATGATCCACCACCCAAATAGTACCTGCTCTGTGAGGGTCCATGGGGGTCCTGACCACTGAAGAACAGGGTAAAAGGGGGCTAACAAAGTATCAGAGAAACAGATGGACTACAGTCTGTGACCGTAGAACTACAAAGTGCACCTATATAGTAAGTGGAGCTGATAAAATGGACAAAGTAATTTTATCATGTTATATTTTTATAATGTTATGCCTGGTATCAGGCTAATGCTGCGTTCACATATTTGCGTTGAAAAAAGTGTCAGTGGTACCCGGCCGGCAGCCGCAGAAAGCTCCACCGACATTGTTACGGTGACTGTGGTGCCGGCAAAATAGGTGATTATCAGAAGTGAGGTTTAGCAGTATACACTGTTTATTTACATGAAAAAAGTTAGCAGGGTGCTCTGCACTATTTTATTTTTGTTGTATAAAACTGGTTTCTTCTGGAATTCAACTATAAGAATTTGGCATCCATGGCTTTCCAAAAAAAATCACAGCAAGAGTCTTTGGCTTGACTTAGTCAGCCAAAAACACAAAGATTAAAGTGAGAAGAAATAAAAGTAGTTTTCCTTTGGAATGATGGTGATGATGATTACTATTATTATGCAACTACACTAACCAACACTATTAATAACACTATTAACACCAGTGCTGCAAACTAATCTGTAGAAAACACAATATGAAGATTAAAACCCAGAAAGCGAAGCTGGGGCTGCAGTTTACCTGCGTCACTCCTGGCGGTTTCTCTCCTGGGTTAAACACATACAGGCCGTGAGAAGCTCCTGCATAGATTTTTGAGCTATAAGGATCCTTCACCAGCTTCCACACAGCATTCCTCTCTTCGTTTGGCAGGTTAAAAGTACTAAATGTGCTCTCTGGTACACAGAGAGAGAGAGAGAGAGAGAGAGAGAGAGAGAGAGAGAGAGAGAAAGTTAATAAAGCAATTTATATCCTGCTCATAAGAGCCAGCTGTAGCCGTGCTTCTTCTTGCATCCCAGCACTACCCAAAGTACCCAGAGGAGAACAGCGGCTTGTCATGTATCCAGAAGAGCATTTGTGAGGTCAGACACTGATGTTGGACGAGAAGGGCCTGGCTCCAGAAAAGGTTCTTCCCCAAACTGTTCACACAAAGTTTGAATATAATATATAATTGTCCAGAATGTCTTGGTGCTGAAGCATTAAGATTTTCCTTCACTGGAACTAAGGGTTCTAGACCAACCCCTGAAAAACAACCCCATATCATCATCCCTCTTCCACCAAACTCTACAGCTGGCACAGTGCAGTCAGGTAGGTAATGTTCTGGCATTCGCCAAACCCAGACTCGCCCATCAGACTGACAGATAGAGAATTCATCACTCCACAGAATACGTTTCCACTGCTCCAGAGTCCAGTAGCGGTGCTTTACACCTCTCCATCCGACGCTTGGCATTGTGCTTGGTGATGCAAGGCTTGCATGCAGCTGTTCGGCCTTAGAAACCCATATCATGAAGCTCCTGGTGCAGTTTTTGTGCTGACGTTAAAGCTTGAGGAGGTTTGAACGCTGCAGTTATTGATCAGCAGAGCGTTTGTGACTTTTATGCTCTGTACTTTACGTGGTCTGACAATTCGTGGCTGAGTTGCTGTGGTTCCTAAACGCTTCCACTTTTCAATAGTACCACTCACAGTTGATCATGGAACATCCAGAAGTGAAGAAATTTCGTGAAAGGGAACTTAAAGATGGAGAAAGTCTGATGCTGCATTAATGTGTGAAGTAAAACTTTTCTAGCATAAATTCTCTGTATTATGGAAGTCCGGAGGGCCCATGAGGTAGTTATATTTTTTTTGGATTGTTATTCTGAGATAACAAGCTATGAACCAGCTCTGGGTGGAGCTCACTTTAAGATGTATAAATATTGTATCTGTTTAGGACAAAGCAAGGCGCCGGGAACCACGGTGGCAAGCGGGCATTTGCCCCACCACTTTTCACAGTACTGTGAAAGTACCACCTGTTTTTGAGTTCAGTTCTCACACATAAAAACCTTCGCTGACGGCATGAAGTGCTGACCAGCATGAACAGACAGAGTAAAGGCCTCAGCAGACTTCTTGTGGAGACGACGTTCGCCTGGCTTCAGCGAACAATATGATGTAATTGCGGAGAAAACGAACAACTGCATAAGTTGTGCGGAGGCTTAATTCGCCGTGTCGCACGCATGGCGGCTGGGCGAACTCCGCGGATGAAGACACTGTGACAAAGCCTCTGATTGGTCGGTAAAAAAGAGGCGTGCCATTAAACAAAGACGGACAATTTTGAGGAGCTTCGGCTTTGGCAGATACACTAATATTTCACTGTGAAATGTGTTAAATGTGTTAAATAAACAATGAACACCTCCTAAACGTAAGATGTTAAGTCTACTATTCGGTAGTACTGACTAGCATTAAGCACCAAAACATACACGTTATCTTATATTTAGGTTCACAAGTTGGCTTTCTATTCATCAGCTTCTTGTTCGAATTTTCCTGTTCCACCTTAAATGGTCGCAGTATTCTGAACTCAAACGTCACCATAGTTAGAACTGTGACAGAATCGTTTTCCAGCAGCCTTGAAACTTATCATAAAATGTCACAGCGTCACGTGGCGCGTCCGCGACAGGCAAACGAATCCACAGAAAGTGTGGGCGTTTTCGGCTTCGCACAACCCTCGAGAATTTCATTTCGCAAGAAGTACGCTGAGGCCTTAATCCCTGCATTCACACCGGCAGCGACGCGACAAAGTGGCTGGAGGTCATTTACTTTCAATGAGAGCTGGCGATTTCCGGCCACAGGAGGCAGCACAAACGTTGCCGATGCAAAGCGGGTGGGGTCGGCGAGGTGACAAAGTTGAGCGGAGTTTAACTTTATGCAAATGAAATAATGCTTAAACATTTTAATGTAAAAGAATACAATCATTTCCTGAACACAGAGCAGCTTAAAACATTTCAACACTGCTGTTATATTTTTAAGAGCTTTTAAACTCGAGTTTAAAACGGGGCCTCATATATGTCCATGACGTCAGTGAGTGTGAACAGCCAATGAGCTGCCCCACTCGCCAACCAATCAGCGCTCAGTAGCAGTAAGGCCCGCTCTCTGCTGCCCAAAACCTGTTTACTGTAGAGAAAAGGAAACATACAGGTGAGATTTCTGTGCTTTTTTAGTGAAACACATCCTTCTACTGTCTGAAATTAAAGGAAAGTTCTGTTTAAGTGATTAGAAACTATTTTAACTGTTCGTTTTTAGCCGTTGAGCTCCATTCACTCCCATTCATTGAGGACTCGCTCGCGGGCGCCCTCTGCTGTTTAGCAGTCCTGTTCTTGATATAACGGGGAGAATAGGAAGTGACCAAACTCCTCATAAGCCGGCTCTGGTTTTGCCCCACCACTTTTGGAGGTGTGGCGCCACCCCTTGGCCGAAAGAGTGAATAAAACAGCATTTTTTTTGGAAACAAAGTTAAAATGAGACTGACTTTTGGCTTTGATTGGAGCATATATCACCATATGTCCTCTTCTAGCTCATGATAAGTCTTGGCTGGATAAAATATTATGGGTAGAATCAACATCATTTTTACTTCTGGAACCAGGCTGTTCAGCTGTATAACGTCCCCCTACTCGCACTATTCCTCCTAATGAACAGTCACATGTTCAGCTCTGTCTCCTTATTATTCACCACCATCCCTGCAGTCTTTTATTAGACAGGTGTTCACCGACATGAGCACATCTTACAGCGAGGAGACAGAAAAGGAAACATCTCAACTGAATGTAGATACATGTAACGCCAATATGCTGACGTCAGTTATAGTGAACCGATGCTACCTTAAAACGATATAAACGGACAGTTAAAAGAAGTTAGGGCACCCCAGGGTTTATCCTAAAGTTAGGACAGCATTTAGGCCGTTTTGTCTCGTTGAGATGCTTCAGTTCTGTCGTTCTGTAACAGCTTCTGTCCCGAATTCGGTCCCAGTGAAGCTGTCATGTGACTTAACAGATCATTTTTCAGAGCTGAGATGCCTCTTTAACACCACCCTCGTCTTGTATGAGAGGGAAAAACATGCAAATATGGCCGTTGGGCGAACAAACTTTCCTTTAAGGACTTTATTTAACTGGGACAGTTAAACTGGAAAACAGCTAAGATAACCAGCAAAAACAGCGTGTTTATCTTTTTGCTCCTCACCTCTCCGAGTTATCCTGATCCTGGCTGCGTGATGGTGGTCTTCCAGTGTGGAGTGGACAGTCTGAGTCCATATTAAAGCCAGCAGAGCGGTGCAGAGCGCTGAGAGAGGCATGACTGATCTGAGCGGCGTGGAAGTGAACACTAGTACCGGGGAGTCGATTCCAAAGGACGCCTAGAAGTCGAAACAAAACCCAAACGCAAACTGTGTTTTTCACAGAATGTTGTGGGGAAAAAAAGGGATGAAGCTGAGATTTGCTCCAGCTTTGCCAGCGTCTTCTTCAAATTTCCGTTCCACCTTAAATGGCCGGCGTACCATGTACCAAATAACTGCTGAATCTCTTGAGGTGGACGATTAATACGTTGGCAACTTAAGTCTCGTGAAAAGAGGAACAGGAGAAATCCATCTGGTTCCTTTTCAAAGAATTCTGACTGCAGAAATGATTTTCTCAGTACATCACTCTGCTACGGAGCCCTGTAACAGGGGTGAAAATGAAAATTAATTTGAGGGAACGTTTTGCCCTATGGAGCCCT